TCTCCCCTTTCCAAGTAAGGTCAAGCAGGTGCTGCAGCTAAAATAGGCTGTGCCAGCGTGTGACTCGCATTCCCCCGCTGGCTGACCTTCATTGTCATCACCACCAGCACGCCGGGCAGGAGGGCAACGAAGGGCACAGCACAAAGGCTGCTGGGCTGGGCTGGGAGAGGGGCTGGGGGCCAGGCTGGCAGAGAGAAGGGGTTAATTCCCTCAGCGGAGCACCTGGGAGGCTGCAGCTGGACCAGTGTCCAGTTTGGGAGAGAAAAGGACAAGCTGGAGGTGCCTGGAGAGCCTCAACGTCCTTGGAGATGCTCAACAGTCAACAGGGCACAGCCACGAGCATCCTGATGGGTCTAAGGAGTTAGCTGGGCTTTGAGCAGGGCTGGGGACCTCCAGAGACACCCCACCGTCACCTAAATCTTCCTGTCAGTCCCTGTGTGCCGTGTTCCTGGGTGTTCTTCAGTGCTAGCACAGCCCAGCTCCTGTGCCTGCACCACGAGCCAGGTGGCCCGGGTAAACTGAGGCATGGAGACATGCAAGCCCCTTGCCCACTGTGTCCAGGTGTCCTCCACCAGCTCCTTCCCCACGCACTCGGCCCCTTGCACCATCTCAGAGCTACGTTTCCAGGAGGGCAGGAGAGCACACAGGAACCAAAACCTGCTACCAGCACCTCCAAGAGCAATGCCACAAGGGTAGCATCATCCTGGTGGGCATCACCCACACATGAGTGGCTGAGGATGAGCGGAGCGAGCAGTTGGATGGAGCTTGTGTCCCCCCGCGGGGATGCAGGGGGGGGGGCCCTGCCCCAGCCCCCCCAGCACTCACCCAGGATCTTGCTGATGCTGGAGTTGTGCATGTCCGGGAAGGCCTGCAAAATCTTCCTCCTCTCGTCCTTCGCCCACACCATGAAGGCGTTCATGGGCCGCTTGATGTGGTTGTTGTTCCGGGACTCGGGGAAGTGCCGTGAGCCTGCGAGGGAAACCCCAGCAAGGTCAGGAGCCAGAGGCAGCAGGGAGCCGGGGTGGGGGGGTCACAGTGCGGTGCTCCCAGCCGTCCTCACCGTCCATCTCACAGGTCAACAGAGCCTCGTCCAGCCGGTGGGCAGGGGTCTCCTCCACCCGCTCCTTCACTGGGGAAGAATCAATCCCGACGTGGTCCTGGCAGGAGAGCGGAGAGTCAGGAACCAGCTCCGAGCCGCGGATGGAGACCCCGCTCTGGTCACTGATGGTGGGGTTGGAGAGGGGGACGGTGACCACCCGGCGCGCACCCCTCACCTTGCGGTAGGGGTTGCTGAGCGATCCCTCCATGGCTCCGCTGTGGCCATGCAGCAGCTGCCGCGCGTCCTGGATGGCTTTGGTGATGGCGTCGCCTTCGCCCAGGAACCCTGGCAGGACACCAGCATAGGCACCCATCAGCACGTGACCCCACTCCTCTGACACCCCGCAGCACCCCGTCCCACCCCAGCAATGGACGAGATGACCCACAGAGGACCCTTCCAACCCCTACCCTTCTGTGATTCTGTGAACTGTGTGCACCAAGGGGGTGGCAGAGAGCAACAGGTGCCCACCCAGGTCCCCCCCAGAGAGGAGGGACCCCAGGGAGCAGAGATGTCCCCATCTCTGGGAGGGCATGGGACCATCCATCAGCGAAGGCACTTGGGAACCCACCCAGAGGCAGGTTGGACGGGCTGGTCTGCAGGTCCCTGGTGGCCCCGTGACTCGGTGTGAGGGACTGGCAGCCGCTCATCTTCAAACTGGGTGAGCTGGAGGCACTGGGGAGGTCGGAACCTTTGGGTTTGGCCGTCAGGTTCAGCGGCTGCGAGGTCTCCTGCGGTGGAGGGGAGGATGAAGCGCAGCCCCCGCAGCACCCCAGCCCGGGGGATGGAGGTGCTTTGGGGCTGTACCTGCATCTGGAGGGGGC